TATAAGAAATTAAATTGGTTTTTGTCAAACATTCTTCTAAGTGGTATAGAACTGGTCTGTGCATTGCTGTACAGAGGTAACTCGTGGTTGCTGTGATGCTAAACACTGCGATACTGATGTGCCAAGTGTGATAATGGTTACCCATGGTGGACAGTGTTTGGTGGAGCTTCCCAATTAAAACAGGCTTGGAAGCAGCAGTGGCATCCACTTCAGAAATGGCTTGCTTCCAGTAATACTATGAACATGGAAAACAACCAAATTTATACAAGTGTTCAGGTCTTTCATTCATAGGATCGTTATGAGTCGTCTACAACTCAATGGCACGTTAACAACAACATATTAATTATGTTATATAAAGTTATTGAGTACTAAATAGGTATTAAGAAAATAGTTATAGGAAAGCATACACATTCATATATATGTATAAACATGATTGTGGGTGCTGCATTTATATCCATACATACAGTAAAACACAGAGACTACAATTACAGAAACTTCATAGGCACCTCTAAATCTGCTGGATTACTTTAATGGGTTAAAAGGATCACAGTCTCAGAAGACAATTTTGGTTAACTGGCATAGCGTAAGTCATAAAGTTCTATATCCTAGGTTGGTGATTCATGTCTGGGTTCTTAAAAGCTTGAACACTGTCATTTAAGATACAATTACTGGTCTCTACTCATCTGGAACCAAAGAGAATAAAGGAAATTAAAGACACAAAGAAGAAACTAGTTCAGAGACTTCATAGCTCATTCTAAGTATGGTTTTTCCTAACTTAAGACCACAGAACTAGATGGTGTCCTAACCATTCTGACCAGAGATATAACAGAAGGCCAAGATAAAAAGAAAATGTAAAATAAAACTCAAATTCCTAAAAAAGGCCAGACCTACTGGAGCACGAGAAACTAGAACATCTAAGACTATCGACCTATACTAATCTTTGAATTTGAAATTATTTTTGAAAGCCATCTTTCAGCCAAGTAAAAGATTGACTTGACAACATCCATGAGTAACATGTTCCCTTAAACAATTAACACTGTAAGATCAGACTGTTAACATTTAGCCAAAGCAAAAATGAGAAGGTAGGAAGAGAAGAAAAGTTAGAACAATAGAAACTGCGTAAAACAGAAGAGAAATGACAATAATGTTAACACACTGTGAATATTGTAACCAATGTTACAGAGCAATCTGAATAACAATTACTAAAAGGAAACCTAATTTGCCAGGTAAACTTTCACCTACAGCATAATAACTTTTAAAAAAAAATGAGCTTTGAATTGGAAGCAACAGCATATAAACTATTCAATGATAAAATTTTCAAATCAAGATTTCTTTAAGGATAATAATTAGCATTTAATGAAATTAGGTACCTTATGTCAAAAAATTTTTTCTAAATAATTGTCATTATAGCAGTTTAAAAACCATTCCTAAATAAAATTCTTTCCATATTTCACCCCCTCACAAATGTAAAAGACTAGATAATATAAACATCACTCTTCATTCTCTTAGCCATTTACAAAATAGAAAGCAAAACATTACAATATACTGAAAACACATTTCTAAAAGAAACAGGATTCTTTTCTTTAAACTTCAGAAAACAAACACATAATTTGTCACTTATAACAATTAATACAAAAAGTTAAGTTGTTCTTAAAATGTGACACCCAATAATTTTCTGTTTGGCTGCTCATAACATAATACATTTTATTTACTCATACTGTTAAGCAGAAATAAGTAACTTAACAAACCTAACAATTATGTTCTTCTCAGGCTTATTCAACAAAGCATATAACCTGTTTCACTTTCCCTTAAAGATACAGGGCATATAGAGTTTAAAAATGTGTGAAATGATCAACCAAGGGAAACAGCTGAGGCTCCTTTAAAAAATGGGTTTCAAAATCCTAATTTTATCTAGTTAATCTCTCTACTTGAAGACTGGGTCTAGATACTCTTAGATTTACTAGAAACACTTTAAATTAGCCATCAAGACTTCATAAATATTATCTCATGATAGTACAATAAACTCAATCATGAATCCAGGGTCAATACTCAAGTATTTACATAAGTTAAAATGTAATAGAAAAGCATGACATTTAAAGTACTTTAGCCATTTCAGATCATTACATCATGATCTCTGTAAGGATAATATCCAATGTTACATAGGAATCACATCTCCTCTACCTTACTGTTAGCACAGTGCCCTGCATACAGGAGGTGGTCAACAGTTATTCATGAAAAGGATTCCTCTTTAGAAACTTGATCTTACCTCATTCCTCTCATCTACATCTTTGCATTTTTCAAGAAGAGCTTTCAGCGCAGGGATGTTTTCTTCTTCTACATAATTTATTACACTCTGAGATATTAAAACTGACATCTTCACAAGAAAGAAGATTCTTTCAGTATCTGTTAAAAGTAAATTAGATAAATATAAAAATTAGTCATTCTTAAGAAATCTAGAAAAACTAGAAGCTCTAGCGGCCTAGTGGTGAGAAGCTGTGCAGTGCAATCCCAAAGGCATGCAGTTTGAATCTCTTAGCGGCTCCACAGGAGAAGGATAGGCAATCGTCTCCCGTGCGATTAACTGCCTCTGAAAACTCAGCTGTGTCGGATCTGACTTGACAACAGGCTCAAAATCATTTATCTGTGGTTAGTAAAAAAAAAAGTTACCATCAAGTATATTATCATTCTTAACCTTAAGTTACGTAAGTATCCCTGCCTGTATTGGCATTGATGAATGGACGACCTACAGCCAAGCTCTTACCCCTCACTTCTCAAAGCTCTAAGTCATCTTAATTCATCCTTCAGACTATCCACCAAGCTCTCCTCACTATCCTCCCCCCAATAAGACAAAGCACTGTACAACTTCTCAAGCTGTGCACATCAGAAATGAGAGCTCTATCCCTAATACCATTCTCTCAAGGTCAAAACCTTGGCCCCCAACTTGCCTTTTTATCTTATTTACTTCAACCACTCGATACAACTTCCTGATTACTTCTATTCACCACCACCATCATAACCACCCAGACCTAGCCCATCACCTCTCAGCTAGGTTCTAAACCGATCTTGGCTTTCACCTTTGCCTGGACACAGACCCTCCACAACTCAGCCAGAGTTTCTTAAATTTTACCATACTTCAAAATCACCCAGAGAGTTTGCAAAATGCAGAAGCCTGGGCTCAGAATCACCCTCAGTGATTCTGATTCAGTTGGTCAGAGTTGTGATTACTGAAATGCTATCTTTAACAAGTTCCCAGGTGACACTTACTAATGACTGAAACACCACAAATGGAATAGCACTGAATCAGACTATACAACCTTCCTTCACTCAAAACCCTCTCCTGGCTTCTCAAAACACTTAAGTAAAATGAACACTTTTAATTTGGCCAACATGACTCTAAGGGAATGATCTTCTGTTCCATCTCTGACTTCATTTCCTACCACTCTTTCCTATCTACTTAACTGCCTGCGGTTACTCTAAAATGCCTCTCTTCTAGGTGTTTCTTCTGTGTGCCTCATTGTTTCCACCAGACAGGCACAAGCCTTGCTTCCTCTTTTCATTCAAGCTATTTATTTTGTTACAAAACTCTAAACTCACCATTTGATTAACACAACTCCAAAACCAAAAAACCAAACAAAACAGTAGCAACTTCACACATACTCCACAGCAGTCCCAGCAGTCCCAGCCTCCTAGCTCTATTTGATTGTTCCCCTCAGGATGTGAAGATTGAAATTGTCAATGATTTCATCTTCCTTGGATCCACAGTCAACACTTTTGGGAGCAGAAGTCAAGAAATCAAAAGATGTGTTACCCTGGGGAAATCTGCTGTCAGGAACCTCTCCAAAATGCTAAAGAGCAATTATGTTAGTTTAAAAACCAATGTGTGCCTGATACAAGTCATGGTCTTCTCAATTACTTGCTATGTGTCTGAAAGATGGACAATGATTATGAACAACAGCAGAAGAATTGATGCTTTTGAGTTGTGGTGGTAGAGAAGAGTACTGAGTATCAATGGATTTCCAAGAGAACAAACAGGTATATCTTAGAGAAATTGAAATCAGAATGTTTCTTGGACGCAAGGATAGTCAAATTTCATCTCACATATTTTGGGCAGGTTGTTGGGAAGGAGCAGTCTTTGGAGAAGGACATCATGCTTGGAAAGGTGGTGAGTCAGTTAAGAGCAACAAGCTGGGTTGACAAAATGATTGTAGCAATGGGCTCAAGTACGTTAGAGATGGTGAGGATGGTACATGATAGGGCAGGGTTCAATTGTTATTCAACAACCCAACAACAAATAGGATTTCTGCACCATCGTAAATACAAAGCATTGTTTGTTTATTGTCTAACTGTCACAACTAAAAAGCAAGGTTCAAAAGAAAAGGAACTTCATTGTATTGACTGATAACAGACTGAACATTGGGTGTAAGAGAGAGAAATGAGTCTTAGTTAATGTCAAAGTTTTGACCTTGAAAAAAGAGAACTAGAGTCACTATTTGCTGACAAGTCCACCGAAGTGCAGCTTCTATAAAAGAATATTTACATTGAGTATATCAATAAATATATATTTGGCATCACTGAGTAGTTCTTGGGATATAGTGGTAGTATACAGAAGAAATATTCAGAAAATAGCCAACATCATAGTATTTTATTCACCAACAGACTTGAGACAGGGAAGAATATTAAATCAATAGAAATTATTCAAACTGTTGTGGTGGTGGTGGTGATTGCTGATTGTTATCAAGTCTAGCCTGACTCGCAGAAACCCTAGGAACAAAACACCTCAAGCCTTTCTAAAACTAGCGTCATTTATTAAAGTTCATAGAGTTTCCAGAGGCATGTTGTTTAGGAAGTGGAAACTAAAACAGGGTGGGAAAAAATGGAAAAATAAAATAGAACATCTAAGAACCTTATGATATTAAAAAGGTACACTTATATGGGCAACCGAAGTATCTTAAAGAAAGAGAGAAAATGGATCAAAAATATAATAATTAAGAAGTATAAAAAGATGTACATAATGAAAAATTAAAGACACCAAACCACAGCTTCAAAAAACTCATAATCTCCAAAATGGATTATAAAATAACAAATACATTTAACAACTCTCTAGAGACACATCATATTCAAACAATTGAAAGGCAAAGTTAAACAGAAAATTTTGAAGGTGGTCAGAGAAGAAGAATGCAAACTTCTCAGCAAAAAGTACACCAGCAAGAAAATAAACAAGTGAAATTTCTAAAGTGCTGCTAGAAAAGTTTATTCACCTAAAGTTCTAAAGCTATCCCCCCTCCAAAAAAGTCTTTCAAAATGAGAATAAAGGTTTTGTCAAATAAAAACTGCGAGAATCACTATCAGCACATGGAGAAAAGTTTAAGGAAATCCTTGATACAGATCATGTGAAGTATCAGCCAGAAAATGAGAGCTACAAAAGCAAACTAGGATTCCAGAAAATGGTTAAAATGAAGGCAAATACAAAAAACGTAAAAAAAATATTGTTCTAAAAGGTTGTATTGAATCTCCAGGGCAAAAAATACTACCAATAAATTGCTGTTATGTGCCGTTGTTAAGTGACTGTGACTCATAGCAACTCTATGAACCCTGTCGTATCTTCATCTATGACATACTTGAGAGTCCTCTGTTATAGTTACTATGTCAATCCATCTTGGAGTGTAGTTCAGGACAAAAATTGTACTAGACCCTTCACTCTTCTTTAAAAGCAAAATCTTTTGTCCAGAGCCAAAAAGTGGCAGAGAAAAGTAAAGGGCATAGTATTTTAAGTTTCTGACTCTGTATATAAAGCCGTATATTATTTTTAAATAGAAAGCAAATAAAAGTGAATACTGCCAACTCTATTGCAACCAATACATTTTTTTGAAGAAGTATAAATCATAAGTCAACCAACACAACTCACTGTGTCGGCTCAGATTAGTGACCATCCATCGGATTTCTCAGGCTATCAATCTTATGAGGAGCTCTGGTGGCTTAGTGCTCAGCAGCTGCACTGTCCACCCAAAGGAACACAGTTCAAATCTACTAGCTGCTTCAGTGGAGAAAGACAAGCAATCTTTACCCTGTGCAATTTATACCCTCTGAAACCTGCTGAAGGCTCAGTTATGAGTCGGTTTCAATAGGGTAGCAAGCACATAACAACAACAACAATAACAAATATTAATGAGAAAATATTAATTCTCTTTCTCCCAAGGAGCTGTAAATTGATTCAGACCAGGGGTTAGCAGGGCAGCAAGCTACGAACCAGACCACCAGAGTTTCTTATTAAGCCAATTTTTACTCATTTTCATTGAGTTGAAACCAGGCTATAAATGATCCTCCAGGGGGTTTTCCGAGGCTATAAACTGCACGGGAGGATAATGTCCATCTTTCTGACAGCAGGGTTTGAACCACCTGCCTTTGGGTTGGTAGTGCAATTCTTTACCCACTAGGTCACCATAAATTAAATAAAACCATAAAACAGCCTTAATCCAAAACAGAAGGGGAAAAAAGGAACAAACATAAAGCAATTAACAAGTGGGTGTTGGTAATCCAACATCTCAATCACTGCTTTTTATAAATTATCTAAATACATGATAGTAAAAAATCTGAGATTGTAAGAGTAGGTGAAAAGGCAAGAATACTTGTCAATGTGTGTGTGTGTGTGTGTGTGTGTGTGTGTGTGTGTGTGTACAGACACCTGTCAACAAGAACATTCCTTAAATAATGGGTTAAATGTCAAAGGAGAGAAAAAGATACACTATGCAAAGACTAATCCAAAGAACACTGGAGGGAATTTTGCTTCTGTAAAAATTGGTTTACATCTTTCCTCCCTAATTTCTTCTACGTACAGCTGAAAATGCTGGGACACATGGGAGGGAATATGGAGACACAGCACAGACACAGACATGTGCACGTGTGACTTGAAAAGGTAGAAAGAGATTGCCTAGCTGTGAGTTCCCTGGGTTTTCTTGATACCTTTTACATTTTAAACTGGGTAGGAGAAGCCAGAAATCCCCAAAGGGATATAAAAAAATTAACAAATAAAAGTCTGCTCACTCACATCCAAAAACCAGGAAAGAAACATTCCAACAAGAAAAAAAACTTTTACAGTAACTACTCATTTCAGCCAAACATCATACCAAAAAAATTATGGCCCCACCTCCTCCCCAACCACCAAAGACTGGTGGAAGAGCCTAGACATCTGATCTTGCTGGGGAGCAGCAAAACCCCACAGTGCTTCCTCTGCAACGGAGGAGCCTTGTGAAGAGCCAGGGTTTTATGGGTGCTCAGCATTAGCAAACTCACTTCTCAATAGCAATGGCAGTCTTAAGGAAAGCAATCATCAGGAATCCTTCGACCTGGTAGCCAGAAAACTTCTGTTGTTGTTTT